AGTCACTCCCCTTTCTCTCCTCCACCCAGTCCCTGGCACACTAATCTACTTTCTGTCTCTAAAGATTTGTCTATTTTGTATATTTTATATAAATGGAATCATGCGTTACATGATTCCATTTATATAAATGGTATTTTGTTTTACTTCTTTATCACATAGTGTAATAGCATCCTTGTTATAGAATGTATCAGTATTTCCTTCTTTGTATGGCTGATTAATTTTCCATTGTTTGATGGAATACTACTCTGCCATAAGAAAAGATGAAATACTGCCATTTGCAACAACATGGAGGGGCCTTGAGAATATTATGCTAAGTGACATAAGCCAGGCAGAAAAATCTAAGAACCATATGATTTCATCATATGTGGGATATAACACTGAAACTCGTGGACACAAACAATAGTGTGGTGGTTGCCAGAGGGAAGAGGGTGGGGAGGGTGAAGAGGGCCCAATATATGGTGATGGAAGATGATTTGACTTTGCGTGGTGGGCACAGTGCAATACACAGATCTTGTATCATAGAAATCCACATCTGAAACCTATATGATCTTATTAACCAATGTTACTCCAATAAACTTAATAAAGATTTGGACATCACCCATATGGTCATGGGCAGTCTTTTTCTTCAATCTAATAAAAATAAGGTTAATTCACACACAAAAATTCCATTTTTTTGTTTTTCTATTCATTCATTACTTGATGGGCTCTGGGTTGTTTCCATATGATTTAATCGATTTTAAAAATCCAACTTTTTATTTCAAGATAAACGCCAATTCACATGCAGGAGTAAGAAATAATAGGTTGAGATCCCATGTACTTTCCCCCCAGGTTCCCCCAATGGTAACATCTTACATTGTACAATACCACAACCAGGAAATTTACACTGAAACAATACACTGATTTTATTCAGATTTCACCAGTTTTACATAATATCATTTATGGTTTAACATTTATAGTTTACATGTGTAAACTTGTATAATTACCGTGATAGTCAAGATACAGAACAATTTCACATGAATAGGAACCATTGTGCTGCCCTTTTATAACAACACTCAGCTCCCTCCTCAACCCTTTCTGAATCCCTGTAAACCACTAATTTGTTCTCCATCTCTATAACTGTTTTATATATATAACATACACATATATGAAATCATACAATATGTAACCTTTTGGGATTGACGATTTTTACTCAGTGCTTATCCTTTAAGATACATCCAAGACATTGTACCAATAGCTTATTCCTTCTTATTGAGTAGTAGTCTGTTGTATAACTGTACCACAATTTAACTATTCACCTGTTGCAGGATATGTGAATTGTTTCCACTGTGGGGTTATCATAAATAAAGGTGCTGTGAGCATTTGTATACATGCTTTTGTGTAAAACATACATTTTTCATTTCTCTGTGATAAATGAAATAAATGTTCAACAATGCAATTGGCGGGGTTTGTATGATAATTACATGCTTAGTTTTATACTAAGAAGTAGCCAAACAATTTCCCAGAGTATACCAAGTTAGATTCCCATCAGGATTCTCCACATCCTTGTCAGCATTTCCGTCTGGCCTCCATGGTTTCTAATTAGAAATCCAATGTCATTTAAATCTTTGCTCTAGACAACGTGTCCTTGTTGACTACTTTCAAGACTTTTTGTTTGTCTTTAATTTTGAGAAATATGTGACATGTCTTTGAATAGTTTTATGGGGTTCCTTCTGTTTGGGGTTCATGCAGCTTTTTATTATTATTATTATTATTATTGATTTCAGAGAAGAAGGGAGAGGGAGAGTTAGAAACACCAGTGATGAGAGACAACCACCGATTGGCCGCCTCCTGCACACCCCACATCAGGGACGGAGCCCACAACCCAGGCATGTGCCCCCGACCAGAATCAAACTCAGGACCCCTCATTCCGTATACCGATGCTCTATCCACTGAGCCAAACCAGCTAGGGCATCATGCAGCTTTTTGAATCTATAGATTTATGCTGTTGGCCAAATTTGGTCAACTTTCAGCCACTATTTATTTAAATTTTTTTTAGCCATAGTACTTTTCTTCTCTTTCTGGGACTCCAACGACAAGAATGCTAGATCTTTCATTATTGTTCCAGAGATCCCTCCTAAGGCTACACTAAGTTGTTTGTTTTTTTTAAATATATTTTATTGATTTTTCACAGAAAGGAAAGGAGAGGGATAGAGAGTTAGAAACATCGATGAGAGAGAAACATCAATCAGCTGCCTCCTGCACACCTCCCACTGGGGATGTGCCCGCAACCAAGGTACATGCCCTTGGCCGGAATCGAACCTGGGACCTTTCAGTCTGCAGGCTGACGCTCTATCCACTGAGCCAAACCGGTTAGGGCAACACTCAGTTTTTAATTTCAGTCTATTTTCTCCCTGCTGATCAGATTAATTTCTATCTTTAGTTCACAAATGCATTCCTCTGTCATTTCCATTCTGATATGGAGCCCAATAGTGAGGTTTTTTTAAAAAAAAAATTCAGTTATTATAATTTTCAGTTCTAACATTCCCTTTTGGTTCTTTTTTATATCTGATTATTTTGCTGGGGTTTTCTGCTTTTTATTTCAAGCACATTCATCTTTCTCCTTGATGCGTTTTTTTTTAAATGATAGTGTCTTTAAAATTCTTGCCAGATAATCCCAACACGGGTCATCTTGAATAGAAGTGGTGAAAACAGGCAACCTTGTCTTCTTCCTGGTCTTACAGGAAAAGCTTTGTCTTTCACCATATAGTGTTAGCTTTGGGATTTTTTTATACACTTTACCCTTTAGTAGTTGTGGTAGTTTTCTTCTATTTCCTTCAATTTTGTTATTTAACAAAATTTTCTGCATCAATTGAAATAATCATATTATGTTTTCCTTTCATTCTGTTAATGTGATATTGCATGGATTATCGAATGTTGAACCATTCTTGCATTCCAGGAATTCCTTTTAGTGTGTGGTTGAATTATATTTGCTAATACTTTGTTGAGAATTTTTTGCATCTATGTTCATCAGGGAAATTGGTCTCTAGTTTTCTTTTCTTGTAATGTCCTTATCTAGGTTTAGTGTCGGGGCAATTCAGGCCTCATGAGTTAGAAAGGTTTTTTCTCTTCAGCTGTTTATTCTTCACCAGTAAAGTCATCCTGACCTGGGCTAAAGCAATGATTTTTAAAATTCTATTATTTTTTCTACAATTACTAAGCATTTTTCTGTGAAGAAGGCTTTTCCTCCATCAATTAGGTGTCAACTATAGTCCTTCCCAAGTGGGTTGGTATGATGATAACCTCCAATATGTGAGGGTTGGTGTTTTGTTTTGTTTTGTTTTTTTTTCATTAAGAAACCCCCCCCCACACACACACAGTATTTACTTAATGTTTTTCACAATTAAATGCTGTTTCTTTTGTTCAAGCTGTCCCAAATTTGGCCAGTGGGAACCCTTTCAAGCTGATTCACGTCCTATTGAGATATTCCTATTAGTCTTAAAGTACTTTCTTACTTCCTGACCATAAAAGATATTTCTCACACCATTTCTTCCCCATCCACAGCCCTAGGTTCAGCCTATTCTCCAAAGAGCACACGAAATCAGGGGTGAGCATTAGATGTGTCCCTGCCCCCTACTGACCAAGATGCAGCTCCCAGCCAGCTATCCACAAGATGTGCCATCATGCTCTGCCCCAAGACACCACAGGCATGCACACTCAGCCCCAACTAAAGCTGAGTGTCCAGGCCCTGGTTAGACTGGTCACAGGGTGGGAGTGGGGAGACCAAGAAGTCATCCTGCGGGGTGATAGGAGGAGGTTTCAAGCCCTTATCCCGTCACCCTGCCACCATGCTTCATCCCATCAGCCTTCACTTAAAAGCACAAATTCAAATATAAAATTATTAAGAATTCCAAGATGGCAGACAAAACATTAAAGCCCTAGCACAAGGATCTTCTGAGCACAGGACCCTATGCAACCACAGAGGCCCTGTGTATTTCTCTCTATTCTTTTGTTTCTTACTCAATTTTGTAATTTCTTTTCATATAAATCCCAAAAGCTCTTGTTACTTCCAGGTGATTTATATGTGTATCTATTATGAATAAATTTTTCCCATTATATTTGCTAAGTGGCTAGTAAGGAAATAAGAAAAGTCATTTTGTACAGTTACTTTTAATGGCTATTTTAACATTTCATATCTCATAACTTTAGTGAAATTTAATAATAGTTTCAATATCAATTCTCTTAGGTTTTCTACATAGAAAAATCACCTACAAATAATAGCTATCACTTAAGCACGTAGCATTGCTATGTAGTGTTCTGAGTCATTTAATCCTTACAACAACCCCTTGAAGCTTGAGCCGTCTTTAACTCGGTTCATATAGATTTGCGGTGGAGTGCGGGAAACGTGTAAACTCGGGCCGATTGTAACTGCGTATTATTTCATATCTCATAACTTTAGTGAAATTTAATAATAGTTTCAATATCAATTCTCTTAGGTTTTCTACATAGAAAAATCACCTACAAATAATAGCTATCACTTAAGCACGTAGCATTGCTATGTAGTGTTCTGAGTCATTTAATCCTTACAACAACCCCTTGAAGCTTGTCCTATTATCATCCCACTTCACAGAAGAGGTATGTGAAACACGAGAGACTTGCCCAAGGTCAAAGAGCTGTAAGGTAAGTGGCAGAGTCAAAATTCAAAACCAAATTCAAGCCTTCTAGCTCAAGTTCATGTCCTCAACCACCAGGTTATAACAGCTCTATATTAGACTAACTCCTTTTCCCTCTACCTTTATTTCTGCTTGAAGACTGAGTATCTTGGATGAAACTTTCAGAACAGCATTAAATGTAGTGATACAAACATCCTTCTCTTGCTATTCTTTCCCCCACTGGATGTCTCTAATTTTTCAAAGTAAGACAATGATGTCTGTGGCTTAAAAGGAAAACCTTTTCAATGTGAAAAACATTAATAGTGTACATTTTCCTAAGATGAAGAACCAAAAATCAGTTTGGAAAAGGAATGGATCATGAAATTTTATTGATAAGGACTTCTGTTCCCAAGGTTTATTCTAATCACATTTATAGTACATGAAATAGCAATACTTTCTGGTTGAGAAAACAGAAACTCTGGCCATAGTATTGATGCTTAAGAGAAATATAAGCCTCTACCTAAGGCAAGAGTCCACATCTGAAGAATTCAACCAATATGACATATACAAAAAAGTCAATTCAACATATTGCCTTAAGATATGTAAGAAATCCAAAGAAGACTGCTTCAGTGGGAGGCTGATATACACATTTCATTTAACAGACATAATGTACAATGACTAAAAGAACTATATATTCCCAGAAAAATTAAGAGTGTGCATATCTGGGTTAGCACCTAGAAAGTACATAGAAAATGAAACAGAAAAACGGAGAAAAGCTTTGTGTAAAAATCGTTTGGGCCCACGTTTCTAAGAGCAAGTTCTCATTCATATTTGACAGTAACTCATTCCATTCCATAGGAACTTGGTGATCAGCTGACTCATGTCTTCAGTGCTTTATGACAACAGACTTGTCAACTTGACGGATTTTCTATGTAAATTTAAGGATAAAAAGTTTTATATGCACCCTAGTTTTATTCCAAAATTACTGACTACAAATTTGTGGTATATTATTAGCAAGATATTGGGAAAACAAAGGAAACGTTCTTTACTGCTTGTGTGATGTGATCTGGTTCAAGAATGGTGCCCTGGGAATTACTCACAATTTCACAGGTACACTGATAATTTGTAGAAATGATTGCTGGGAAGGAGTATCATAAGTGGCATATTTAAGTTATAAAAGGCTCCATTAGAATTAGGAGAAGTTTTGCATGGATGGTGACGGTAAAGCCTCAGTGGAAGAGAGGTCAGTTAACAGTATGGTGTGCACTTCATGCAATATTCTTTGGTTACAGCATATTATCCACCGGCAGAACTACCTTGCTTACAATATAGACCAGTGGTTCTTAATTGGGGGCAATTTTGCTCCCCACCCCCGGTAACATTCGGCAATGTCTACGATGATTTTTCACAACTGGGGGAGGGGGGGGTTTGCTACTAGCATCTAGTAGGTATAGAGGCTAGGGATGTTGCAGCCCCACAACAAAAACTCCTCGGGCCCCAAATGTCAATAGTGCTGAAGTTGAGAAACCCAAAAAGAGGTTTATATGACATGTGTCTGGGTTGTCCATAAAGTCAAAAGTACACTATGGAGGCAAAAGGTCACCCGCACTTTATAGCTCTGAGAGCTCCCCGTCAGCTCTCATCAGCAGAGTCCTGGTCCCTGCTGTCCTTTGACCCAGAGCAAGGTCTCCTTTACATCAAAGAGCTCAATAAATATTTGCTGAATGGATAGAGGAAAGAGGTGTGAGAAGCATGGCTCAAAGCCTTCAACTGAGTATACTGAACAGTGAATTAAACTTAAAATTATCCTGAACCTCAATGGTGTCATAGTCTCTGACTATACAGGACCTTAAAATCAGGGTTACCATAGTGTCAAAAATGGAGTCAACATTTTAAGGGAAGTATGTCTAAAAACTTCTACATTCACTGTAGTGGGGCAAACCAAGTAAAATGGTGTTAAAGGCAAACATTCAATACACCATTTTAAACCCAAAAAATGAACATATGAAATGCCATGCACAGCACACACCATTCCTTTTTTTTTTCTTTTTTTACATATTTACAATTTTATATACTTACTTATCAATATATCTTCTATCTTTACAATTATAAAATTATTTTAAATTATAGAATAGTGGTACCATTGAATTCCCTTAAACATACATTTTGTAGCATTCATTTGTTTTACCCTTTAAGAGGCAATTATTTACCCAAATCTAAACCACACTGAATACCACGTGGAAGCACATAGGAAAATCGTGGAGAAAAAATAGATTTAGACAAAAATTTCACACAAGCCTTAAATGAATCTATTTCAGTAACTCAAATAAATAGTATTTTATTATTTACTAAGCTTCCCTGCCAGGAAAACAAAACAAAAACAATCCCCACAAACTGTACCTTGAAAAATGCTCTGACACTTAGAAGCAATTAAGTTATATTCTATATCTCAATCAGTGGACTGTAGTAAGGACTAGCTACAATTTAGGCTCAAATAAATACTATCTGTACATTTTCATCATCCTGCATATACTTGAGGTTGCAATGGTGGCGGAAGTTTGTCATTTTCAACATTTTCAGAGTCAATAGCTGCTAAAGACTGATTTGGGGGCTTAATTTCAAGTGGACATTTCTCAACAATGTCTTGGACCTTTTTTGCAATTCCATCAGTCCAATCTATTAGGTCTTTTTCAAGTTTCTTGGCTTCATTCATAATCCTTTCCTGTCGTTCATTCAATTGAGACAGGAGATCCAAGTTCTTATACATTTGCTTAACACCTAAACAAGCATCAGGAGACCAATTCTCAGATTCTTGCTTTCTGGGAGAAGTCTGGCCAGACATGTATCGATCAAAGTCTTCCTGACTTAAATTCAAAGACTGAGCGTCTAACTTCTCGATGAAAGTCACAGCACAGCACTACAAAAAGAAGAGAATGTTATTATAATCATAAGAGCAAAGCCACAAATATTAAAACAGATTTTTAAAAATCCTTTCATTATGGAGAATTTAAAACTGAAGCAAAAGTAGACAAAACAGTCTAATGAACCTCCATGGACTTCAGCTTCAAAAACTATCAACACATAGCCGATCATGTTTCCTTTATGCTCTCATCTGAAACAGTACATTTCTTCCTTAAAAAAACAAAAAAACAATTAAATCTAATTGCCAACTCCCATTGAGCCTGTCAGAAATTCAATTCTCTACTTAGGATGTTCAAAGGTGCTACAGTCTTGAACAGAGTGAAGTACTGAGGAGGCACCTTCAATGCTGGTTCCACCCTGGCTGCTTACAGAGCTTCCTACAGGCTTTCTGCTTCTCTGCAGGACAGAGGAATCCTTGCCGAGGACGGGAGCTCCAGGGCCAAGTACCTGGGGGCACACCCCATAAAACCATTTTGTTTTGGGGTCTTGTGAGCCCCACAAGGCCTACTTGGGCATGGCCAGACATTGGGAGCGTCCTCAGGGACCCCTGTGGCACACAGACCACCAGTTCCCAAAGAGATATTTTAAATCACATGTTAAAAGGACAAGTTTGTTTGTTTTTTTGTTTTGTTTTGGTTAATCCTCACCAGAGGATATTTTTCTATTGATTTTTAGAGAGAATGGAAGGGAGGAGGAGAGAGAGAGAGAGAGAAACATTGACAGGTTGCCTCCGCACACTTGGGGCTGGGGGAGCAAACCCACAACTCAGGTACACGCCCTTGACCAGAATCGAACCCAAGACCCTTCAATCTTGGGGCTGACGCTCTTATCCACTGAGCCAAACCAGCCAGGGCAAAAGTACAAGTTTTAAAACCAGACAACCTGAGTTGTCACCTCTGTCACTTGACAGTCAAGAGTTGTGTGATCCTAGGAAAATTACCTAGGCTCTGTGAGGTTTCCACATGAGTAAAATGGGGGAAATATCAGATTTACTGTGAGAATTAAACACCATAACACATGTAATGTGCTTAGCTCATAGATCTGTAGTAAGCAATGAATAAATGGCAACAATTGTTAGTATAGAAATGCTAGGACAAACACTCAGTGAAACAGACTTCCATCAGTTACACATTCTTATATTGATTAAATTTTTCTACAATGAGCACGCACCATTTTCGCATTTTTTGTAAAAATGCTATTTTTACAAAAATATTCACCCGAATCTGTAAAAAAAAAAAAATCCTCACCCAAGGACATCTTTTTACTGATATTTAGAGAGAGAGAAAGGGGGAGAGAGAGAGATATCGGTCAGTTGCCTTTCGTATACCACCTCAAGTAGGGACTGAACCCAGTATAACTTTTGACTCCCCCAAAAGTTAACTACTAATAGCCTACTGTTGACCGGATGCCTTGCTCATAACATAAACAGTTGATTGATAAATATTTTGTATGTTATATGTACTGAATACTGTATTATTATAATAAAGTAAATCACAGAAAAAGTATTATTAAGAACATAATAAGAAAGCCCAGCCGGTGTGGCTCAGTGGTTGAGCATCGACCTATGCACCAAGAGGTGACTGGTTCTATTCCCAGTCAGGGCACATGCCTGGATTGTAGGCTCAATCCCCAGTAGGAGACATGCAGAGGTAGCCGACCAATGATGTTTCTCTTTCAACGTTGTTTCTATCCCTCTATCCCTCCCCCTTCCTCTCTTTCTAAAAAAGAATCAATGAAAACACAATTTAAAAAATTTTTAAAAAACAAAATCAGCCCTAGCTGGTTTGGCTCAGTGGATAGAGCATTGGCCTGCAGACTGAGGGTCCTGGGTTCAATTCTGGTCAAGGGCACATGCCCGGTTGTGGGCTCAATCCCCAGTGTTGGGTGTGCAGGAGGCAGCTGATCAATGGTTCTCTCTCATCATTGATGTTTCTTTTTTTTTTTTAATATATTTTATTGATTTTCTACAGAGAGGAAGGGAGAGGGATAGAGAGCTAGAAACATCGATGAGAGAGAATCATCGATCAGCTGCCTCCTGCACACTCCCTACTGGGTATGTGTCTGCAACCAAGGTACATGCCCTTGACTGGAATTGAACCTGGACTTGAGTCCGCAGGCCGACGCTCTATCCACTGAGCCAAACCAGCTAGGGCATCATTGATGTTTCTATCTCTTTCTTCCTCTCCCTTCCTCTCTGAAATCAATAAAAAAATATTTTTTTTTAAAAAAAGAAAACTATAAGGAAGAGAAAATATGGTTACAGTATTTATTGAAAAAATCTGCATATAAGTGGACCTGTGCAGTTCAAACCCATATTGTTCAAGGATCAACTGTATACAGAAAAGAAAAAAGACATCTGATTGGAAAGCAGTTTCAGTTTTGAACAAATTAAATCTGAGGTACAACAAATAGCTGGAAGTGGAGCTCAGCATGAGGTCAAAACAGGTGACACAAACCTGTACAGGTGACCAGCAGAGCTGTGACCAGAGGAGACAGCCTAGGGAGAGAGATGCACAGAGGACAGAACCCCAGGGAGTGACACAACTCAAGAGGAAGTAGAGGACACAAAGCCTACAAAGAGACAAGAAGGGGTGGAATTGTAGAAGCCAAGAAGTTCCAGAACAAAGGAGCCATCAAGAATGTTAAAGAAGTAAGATGAAGACTGAGAGTTCCCCAGGGGATTTGTCAACTGGCAGATTTTTTACTTTTGCCAGAGCATTTTTATTGGAAAAGTGAGCATAGAAGCCGACTCTGAGTCCAGCAAGAACAGGATGAAGAAAGAAGGTGCAAACATAGTTAAGGCTGTAGGTCAAGGCACGGGGAAGCTGCACAGTATAGGTGAACCAGCAGCCTCCAGTTTCAACAATGAGGGCCCCTCAAATACCTCCTGGTCTTGCTTCATTTCTCCTACTACCATGTCTCTCCATCTCTATTCTTCTCAGGATTTTCAGATCATCTAAGCCTCTCTACATAACAACTGACTCCAAAAGGCTCTTTCTTCTTTAGTACTGCAGTGCATGCTTCCTTTATGTTAAGAAATAGTGCTCCAAATAAGGGAGCAAGCATCATTTTGAAATAGTCCCAAATTCCTCCACTTACAAACCACACTTCCCAGATGCTGGCACTACAGTGACAGGTAGGGGAACACAGTGGCTGAGGGTGATACGTAACAAGGGCAATCCAGGTTTTGAGGGACCTGAAGCTTATACGTTTTTGGGAACTCATTTAAAGGGAAATAAATAAAAGATGAACACAAAATTAGGTACAAAAGTGAATATGTATCTATATACATAAAAGACTAATATGCAAATTGTCCCTGCGGGATTTCGACCGGGAAACCAATCTCTCACTATGACATGTGCTGACCACCAGGGGGTGGTGTGGAAAGAAGGAAGACCCCAGCTGGCAGCCAGCAGCTGGGGAAGGGAGGTCCCAATCGGCCCTGATCGTCAGCCAGGCCTAGGGACCCTACCCTTGCACGAATTTCGTGCACCAGGCCTCTAGTGTAAAAATAAATCTCAACAAATTTTGGGAGGCCTGGAGATTCCTTACCCTGGCTTCCTCTCCTTACCAATTACCCTGTACAACTTCCAGAACAGGAAACAAAGCACTTACAGTGCTGAGGTTCAAGTTCATTGTTTGACAGTATATCTTGTCCAAGCAAACAAACAGAAGTTTAGTCGTCAGTAAAAGGAATTATTCTGCCTTATAACTTAGATATATATATTTCAATCTTGTCCTGCCTAGAATTAAATAGCACTGTAGCAAAACAATAGTAGAAAATCATTTCACATTCTCTAAACTGACCCTTTCTAAGTGGTAACTTGTAGAAATACAACAAAAATAAATCTTTTAATAAAGGAACCAAAGCCTAGGATCTGACTTATTCATGGTTGAAACAAGCCACGTAAGTGAATGGCTCTTATACCCAGGACTCTGGGGAAGGATGGACCAAAGCAGCAGACTCCTCAATGTGGTTATCATGTTTCCCATACAAGCCCTATAATCTCTGGTCAAGTATTGGGAGGTGGAGTGTTTGCATGGCCTGGTCACCTGTGCATTGTGGCACCAAGCAAACATCTGTAGTTATGTTGACTCCTCAACTCAGGAGCAATTAACATGTCGCAGGCCTATGAGTGACTGGTCATATCCCTAAACTCAATACCTTCATGGTGGTTCTCCATAACACCAAGAAATCACAAATACTCACCAGATTGGTGAAATAGTAGCCATCCTCTCCAGACATTAATCGGCTTGGGTTGCAGAAGCGGGTGATATACTGAATATTAGACTGAAGGCGTGGGGGGTTACCCTTCAAAACAATGTAAATGAGAGTGGGTAAGAAGTCATCGGCTGAAGCTGGCTCATCCTTGGTGATCTTGATGGCATTGAAGATATGCTTGCTACACTTGGTGATGCAGGCCAACTTATCTCTAGGCACCCGCTTCGAATCCATTTCAATAATATCTGTAAAACAGAAAACACAGTGCTTCCAATGAGAAAATAATTACATAAAAGAAGCATTAGGATAATCACTTTATCCTATTAAGTTGGCGAGGTAACCTCGCTAACCTCCTCTCACCAGTTAACTTAATGTATATAAAACTTAAATCGGGGGGGGGGGGGGGGAGGATAAAACTTAAATCAGCCATAGCTGGTTTGGGTCAGTGGTTAGAGTGTTGGCCCGAGGACTGAAGGATCGTGGGTTTGATTCCGGTAAAGGGCATGTACCTTGGTTGCAGGCTCGATCCCTGGCCCTGGTTGGGGCGTTGTGGGAGCAACCAATTGATGTGTCTGTCTCACATCGACATTTCTCTCTCTTTCTGTCTTTCCCCCTCCCTTCCACTCTCTTTAAAAATCAATGGGAAAAATATACTTGGGCAAGGATTAACAAAAATAAATAAATAAAATAGATTGCACCAACAGTAAATACCAGTTCATACTTATAGAACATGTGACCATGACCTAGCACACTACACAGTATGCTCTACAAATTTCTTTTCATCCTCAGATGATGCAAGTGATACTTTTTAAAAAAAATATTTTAAATTGATTTTGAGAGAGAAGAAGAAGGAAGAGGGAGACAGAGATATAAACATCAATGTGAGAGCAACATTGATCAGCTGCCTCCTGCATGCTCCCTACTGGGGATCAAGCCCAAAACCTGGGCGTGTGCCCTGACCAGGAATCAAACTGGCAACCTTTCAGTGCATGGGACAACGCTCAACCAACTGAGTCACACAGGCTAGGGCAGGGATAATATTATTATTAAGAGAATTGAGGTTCAGAGAAGTTTAATGACCTGCCCAAGATCATACACATTGTAAGTAACAGAGGGGGGATTTGAAACCAAGTCTGACTCTAATGCCCATTCTTTTAATCATGATGTAAAACTACTTATGAATTTCATGGAGAAATAAGTCTCTTTTTTTTTTTAATATATTTTATTGATTTTTTACAGAGAGGAAGGGAGAGAGATAGAGAGCTAGAAACATCGATGAGAGAGAGACATCGATCAGCTGCCTCCTGCACATCTCCTACTGGGGATGTGCCCGCAACCCAGGTACATGCCCTTGACCGGAATCGAACCTGGGACCTTTCAGTCCGCAGGCCTACGCTCTATCCACTGAGCCAAACCGGTTTTGGCAAGTCTCTTAATTACTTCTTAATGTATTGTAAAACTCAGTTTAGAAATCCTCAATTTGCATACTGCATTTTAGCAATGTGGCTACTATACGGTACAAAGCATCTTTGTATTAGATATCAAAATACAGCTGCTGAAACCCATCACACAGAGGTTCGCAGTGGCCAACCCTCACAGCATGTAAATCTCCACTAGCTACAAACATTACAGAAACTTTAAGACACTTATAACCTGCTGTTAGCCAACGAGATAAATCAAGGGTATAAATTTAATCTCATAAACATTTTATTTCTCAGAAAAAAATTTCTTCACTGCCCTTCAATACCACTAAGTCCAACTGGTGGACTCTTTTTTTAAAATATATTTTTATTGATTTCAGAGAGGAAGGGAAAGGGAGAGAGAGATAGAAACATCAATGAAGAGAGAATCATTGATCAGCTGCCTCCTGCACACCCCACACTGGGGATGGAGCCTGCAACCCAGGCACGTGCCCTTGACTGGAATTGAACCTGGGACCCTTCAGTTTGCAGGTCAATGCTCTATCCACAGAGCCAAAGCAGCTAGGGCCAACTGGTGGACTCTTATATGCACACACCTGTTGTCAGAGGACTAGGAGATGGTGAGGGAAAGTTAGGTACAAACTCAGTGCCAGAACAAGGGCAGGAAGTGTGCCTTTGGGTGCACATATATGCTTGCCATCTTGAATATCATCAAAGTAAACAGCTGAGGCAGCTGAATTTGATACCAGTTCTTGCCATGAGCAGGAATAAGTTTCAGACTTAGGTGACAGGGTGGTACAGGCCAGAGAGTTCTTTCTGCTCAGCTCCTATCCGTGAGGTAAGCTACTCAAGGGACCCTCACAGGACCATCAACCATGTGTCGAAGACAGAAACACCGGACAGTGCAGAGGCCTTACTTTAACTTACTAATGCTTTTATTCTCTTTACTTATGCACCTATATTGTGAAGTATATAATCTTCACTTTTTTTATTATTAGTTCCTTTACTTTTTTATCTCTGGATTATAATTATTGTTACTATGTCTCAGTCTATTTTTCTTTTTCTATGTAAATAGAACTTATTACAAAAAAAGATACTGGGGAAGATATTTTTTATACTTTCAAAGCCTTTTATTGTCGATTTTTATTCTCTATTTTAAACATTTTCTCATTAATTTTTATTGTTTATGTTTTAAAGTAAATAAAAAATGAATTATTTTTTATCTGGATGCATGTGTAGCTGCCACTGCCAAGGGGCAGGGCCAAGAGTGTAAAGAAGAGTATATAATGGGGGGGGGGGGAGTCCAAGGGATTTCTCCCACTCTCTTCATCCTGCAGCAACCCCTCCATCTCCTCCTTGAATATCATTCAGTTTAAAAGAAGTTCTCTGTTGGACTCTTTTGGACACTCACACCACAACATGTAGTTCTATGATTTGCACTGCCCTAAAGTCTAAACTAGGAGATGCAGGAGGAAAAACAAACAAAACAGGAAACTCGCCATTGTATTAGCTGTTCTTCTAGTAATGATTTCCCTCCCCAATCTACCTGCTACTATTTACTTTTCAGAGTTCTTGCTTTGGGTCTCCTGTCCCGGGCTTTTTCTTCTAATCAGTAGGAAAGGTAGGGTTGAGTGTGCCTACTCTATCTTAGCAGATGTCTAGACTTATCTTTAATGGAGTTTTGAAACAAAGTAGTCTGTACTTCTAGGTTATGTTTGACATTTGGGCTGGAAAATTCCATGTTGCAGGATTGTCCTGTACACTGCAGGATGTTTAGTAGCATCCCTGGCCTCCACCCACTAGATGCCAGATGTCAACTAAAATGGAAAATGCCCCATGCAGTGTATTTATAAATAAAAATGATAGTGCTGATTAGTAGCACATGGGATGACTTGGAGAAACTGAGCTGACTTCTCTATATTTAAGAACTGTATTATTTTTAAAAAGGATGACTATTATAGACTGTCCTATAAATACTCCTGTACTTAGACTGACAATTTTAAAGATTAGGAAGAAAGTGATCATATAATCCTTGGTTCTCAAAGAGGCAGAATATTGCACTTGGATTGGCAAGATATCAGGGCTAAAATGAGAAAGAGTAAGAAGGTGTTTACAATTTTGTGGCTGAATTTTTACTATCAAAAGATCTCTTGAAACATCATCTCAGGTGCCTTGAAAGAAAATTTTTACCTCTCAAATTCTATTAACAAATGGTTGATGTATTGAAATCCTCTTTCTTAGTTCTATTTTTAAGTAAACAACAGTTGGGTACTTGCAGTTTCTGGTTTTGCAAGGTCTGTCCTGTGACTTTTCAGAAAAGAGTTCTCGACATAAATTCCTATGGAGTACTTTAAACATAAACCAGTTGGTCTTGAACTTGAGAAAAGTCTAAAAGGTGCACATTCAGGCTTTTGAGAGGCTGTCACCTTCAATCTCTTATAATGTTCCCTGAGCAAAAAGTAGGCCTTGCCCCAAAGAACTCAATTCACTGGACCTATGACATAGCCTAGCAGAAAAGCTTTGAACAACAAAGATGACAGTATTTAGCTACATCATTTAGACTCTTCACGAGGAATTAAAAACAACAATTCATGTAATAACAAGAATTGAAATGCAAAGATAAGCAGAACCTGAGAAAGTGGAAAAGAATCATGTTAACAGTAGATAATTCAGTCTCTAGAGAGGCCTTGGAGCTGTTTCTAAGTCCTGCCTCCCTTCCAACCCTCATAATATCTTAAGCAAACCCCCATTTCTTCCTGTTACTTAAGGGAGTCTCTGGTTCTTATAATCAAAGGAGCCAGCCTACTTCATAGCCTGCCTCCAACACCACTACCGGCAACTGGCCTACTTTCCTACCCGGCAGAATTTCATTAACAATCTCTAAGTGAGCAAATCTTCCCAACTCTTCTTAATGAAGGAGAAGTTGTCCAAGATTGGATGTCTTTTCCATTAGGAGTTTTTTTGTTTCTTGTTTGTTTTTTAAATTTCTGTGTTGCACTTCTACTCAGTTATTTCTGTGACTAAGAAACAGAAACCTTAATTAGGTGCCTAGATCTATCCAGAAATGGCAGAACCACATCAATATAAGGCACTTCATATACTTTCTGAACAAACCAGAAAAGTAATTCAAAGCACATCTCTGATTAACAACCAATTAGAAGCATCATTTTAATATGTAACTCTAGTTTGGGTATGACCTTGCCTCACCAATTCTCTCCCTCTCTCCAAACTTCCTTTGAGTATATAAATGCAAATAAGCCCAGCTCAGTGGTTGAGCGTTGACCTATGAACCAGGAGGTCGTGGTTCAATTCCTGGTCAGGGCACATGCCCGGGTTGCAGGCTCAATCCCCAGTAGGGGGCGTGCAGGAGGCAGCCAATCAATGATTCTCTCTCATCATTGATGTTTCTCTCTCTCTATCCCTCTCCCTTCTTCTCTGAAATCAATAAAAATATTTAAAAAAAGAATTAATGCACTGAGTTTTAAGAAATTTATTCTATCTGTATTTGATCTTAGTTTAGTTCAATACCCAAGAAATAAGAAGCCTGGGTCCTGGAAAGTGAAGGGGAAAAGTAGTTTACCTGCTAATCAGAATACTTTTAATTCATAAAACTAACACTCCTGGAAATCATGTTTACCACATTCCAATATGTCTTTGGCAGTCTGAATTTTAGAAATACTTTACTATCTTTTTGCTCTCTGAAATAAGTATGGGTTTCTAAAACATAGTGTTAACTTCAAGGGAAAAATATCCAAATATAAAAAAAATATATATATATATATATAAAAAGTTTCACTGACCTGTAATTGCTTTCACTACCATATCAGACACTTCAGGAATTTCTTCATTAACAGGGACACAAAGCATCTGAGGTGTAACCCAGTGCAGGGCTCTACAAGAGAGAAAGACAGTAAAAAAAGTTCAAAGAATGGACTTTTTAGCGTGGCCAGTTGGTTAGAGCATTGACCCGAGGACTGAAGGGTCTCAGATTTGATTCCAGTGTACGTACCTTCATTGTAGACTTGATCCCTGACCCTGGTCGGGATGTGTGCAGGAGGCAACCAATCAATGTGTCTTTCTCACAACTATGTTTCTCTCGCGCGCTGTCTCTCCCCTCCCTTCCAATCTCTCTATAAAAATCAATGGAAAAATATCCTTGGGTGAGGATTAACAAAAAACAAACAGATAAAAACAGAATGAACTGCAGCCATTTATCTTATCATTTCCATCAGTTACAAGAAAATAAGGGACACCATTAATTAATCGGGCAATTCTAGGCCCAACCACATCACCCCTGCACAGATCAGAAGCTCACAGTAACTAGAGTCCTAAAGTGAGGCTTCTCTTCTGCACTAATCACAAGAAAAGCAGAAGACAATTTTACTGGTTGTAATGAGATTATACTAGGTGTGAAAGCACTAGATATCTGAGAATGAATACTTGTGAAGAACCTGCTGCTCCCTGTCCTGTCCACCACCATTAATGTCCTTGTAGGCTCTGTCCTCAACTTCTGGAGCATATCGGAGCTTGTGTAAGAGGTCAACAAGCATGTGTCACCTCAGCCTGAATCACTGAGTTCTCCGATCACATCGCAGCTTCACTCCAGAGATTCTGTTGCCTATGCCCACCATTTACTTGACTAATGCTCTCACCCTGAATCTCAGTCCAAAGCCCATTTAGGTCTATCTTCTATCTTCCCAAGATCAACTTCTCACTTCTAGTGTGACACCAGAAAGTACTGATCCATCAATCATCAGCCTCACTGTCTGGGAACTCCATTTGAAATTCCTTGGCCCCTCTCCTCCAGAAACACCTCATCATACTCAGTCTTTGTGTGGTTCCCAAATTTGATAGCCTATTCTCTGTGTTTCACTGCCATTGGAATGCAGAACACTGAGGCTCATTCTACTGGCCATGAAAGACCGGATGTGCTGCAAAGTATTATCTACCCAGTGCTAGTGGAAAGATGTGATTGGAGGAATGGCTGAATAATGAGCACCCCTGGTAGAGATGAGAAAAAAATGATACCCATCACCTTGATATGAATATTTACAGCTTCCTACCTGACAAGATAGTTAGTACAATGAAATGAGAAAATAATGACATTTCCTCCTTAGAAAATTTGGATATTTTAAAAAATCAGAAACATCAAAAATGGTTCTTACCTAAAACTGCTGGCATTCAGATGGATAAGCAAAATGGTGCCTTGAGCTCTCTCCTCCTATCAATGTACCATATTCCTTTTCTTTCTGACCCCACAAGTAAGCTCATATGCTTATATGCCAAGGATGGCAGGTACCTTAGCTTGCTCTCAAGGTCTGAAATTCAAAGGCCCTGTTTTCCCACAGTGTGTTCTCTCAACAGCTGGTGGTAAATACAATGGTAAATTAAATCTCTCTTGTTCAGTTTCGCTTTCCTCAGTTTCAGTTACCCACAGTAACTGTGGTCCAAAAATACTAAGTGGAAAACTCCAGAAATAATTGATAAGTTTTAAATTGCTGTTCAGTGTGATGAAACCTTGCACAGTTCCACTCGAGACGTGAATCATCCCTTTGTCCAGCATATCTACACTGTATACTCCACCTGCCCATTGGTCACTTAGTATAGTCACTCAGTAACTGTCTCAGTTATGAGATCGACTGTCACAGTACTGCAGTGGTTGTGTTCAAGTGAACCTTATTTTACTTAATAATGACCCCAAAGTGCAAGAGTTAGTGATGCTGGTAATTCAAATATGCCAAAGAGAAGCCATAAAGTTCTTCCTTTAAGTGAAAAGGTGGAAGTTCTCAACTTAGTAAGATATATTGGGAGAGAGAAAGACCAAATAACTTTTATTATAGTACACTGTAATTCTTCTACTTTATTTGTTACTGTTGTTAGTCTCTTATGCGCCTAATTTATAAATTAAACTTTATCATAGGTATATGTGTATAGGAGGGAAAAGTATATATAGGGTTCAGCACTATCTGCAGTTTCAGGCATCCACTTGGGGTCTTAAGAACAAATCCCCTGCAGATAAGGGGGATTACTATACAACAAGACAAAGCAAAACAATCAACTACCTGATCCTCTTTTGAACAGCAAGATCTTTCTTCTCATCATCAGTCGTTTCTGGACAGAACACATACTTATAGAGACGAGTCATGATGTACTTTTCAATCTGATCCATTATCTTCTCAACTCTTTCAGGAGGCACTGAAATATCCAAATGGAAATAAAAGCCCAAGATGAGGATGGGCATGTATAATTAAGAATTATTTTCATAGTACTTTCTACACAGCAGAAAACTAACTTGCTAAAAATACATGAAACACACCCAAAAAGAAAAGTATGAGATGTTACATTGAAAAATACCTTTAAAAAATTTACCTGACATTTGGGACTGCCTTTTACATAATCCCCACTTCTAACTTAAGCTGTTTTGGCAAGACCTATCAGGTGTTAGGTCTTCCTCACACCCAAGTGGGAAGGCTCAGCATGGGTCCCTCTCTATTGCTACATTAAAAAAGCACTTGAAATCCCCAGACTGATGAATGCTAGTAAGACTCACCCTTTCACTTTTCTGAGGTTTACTATAAAACCTTAGAGATCGCTCCAAAGTATATACATGGGGTAGATTTCTCAAATGTATATGTATGCTAAGTACATCCTAAAATATAACATCAATGGAAATTAAATTCAAGAAGAATCCCTATAAACCTAAAGTAAATCAGTGGTTCTCAATTTTTCTCCTGCTTTAACCTTTAAGAAATATATAATCATGACCAAATAACTCACCAAGATGGTAATTCTAAAATGGGGGTTTCATTTAGAAGCCTCCAAAAGAGTTTTAATCAGCTCTGCCCCAACCCCTAATGAAGTTATTAAACCTTGCTCAATAAATTACCCTATTGCTCGGATTATCTTGGAACAGTACACATGATGTTATTCAATGGCACTAAGTGTAAGACCAGCTACCAAAATGCTGGAGTTGGGC